ATCTTTCGCAGCCGGTTGTTTCGCGTCGAGGCTTACCTGAGTGAACGACTTTCAAGCCGTGCAGTCGCTTTCTGAACTCTGGCGAGAGTCTGTTATACGCTACTGCTTGGTTTGCGAACAAAGTATCACCCCCCGCCGCTGGCCCATCAAGGACATACAGGAATGTAGTACCGGGTGGCTGCTTTTCATACGTCACATCTGAATGCCAGGTAATCGAGTTCGTCCGCTCTTCAAAAAAGTCTCGCGCCGTGGTGTCGTCAGTACCTCGATGGACGAGATGAACCTCAGGATAGCCCTCAGGAGCACCTGATGTAGGATGGATGTGGTGTCGACCGAAGTATCCACCGAAAGCGAGTGCGTCTTTGATTGGGACGTCTGCGAAGTCTTGATCGCGGAACGCTACGACCTTTTTCTGGGCGACAAAGAGTGCGAGTTCATCTTTTCCGGCATCCGTCAGCTTGCTCAGCTGGATACCATGGACTTCAGCGCCGATATTTGCTGTGATGTCGGCGACAGTCGCGTTCGCCAAGAGGTTAGGGAACGAAGGGTCGGCATCTTTTCCGTGTTCAGTGTGCTCGAATGGCTCCCATGGTGGGTATCTGAGCAGCTGATTAGTATCGGGTATCATTGACGGTATGGCGATACTCACTTTCTGCCCTTCTCATTGTCCCAAGTCGGGAGGTAGTGCGGATACTTGGCAGGTGCATGCTTATCAGTCCCGCGCAGCTCGAGTTCCTTCTGGAAGACCTTCGGACCACCAAAGGCAGCTTCCTTGTACTGACCAACTCCAGACTTGTAGCCGACAGTACTCTGTTCGGTGACCTCTTCGATGAGTGCGGGAGCCATGTTGCTATGCAACGGTATCACTTAGGGTGATGTTGAGGAGCGTCAATTTGGAAGTCTATCACATCACCTATGAAGCGGCCTTATATGTACGAATCGAATCATAATTGTGAGTAGCAATGCTTCATTGCGACTCGACATTGGCTACGCGCAACCCCGCTCTTGCAAACTCAACGCCAAGTTGCCACGATCATCGGATGTCGCAGTCAAGTAATCTATCTTGGCGATCCAGTGAGGTTGACTGCCGCGATATGCCCCGATCAATCAGCGTGCGATCATATTGCATCAAGCATGCATTGTATTGCTTCATACTGTCTTCCTACACCAGACTAACCGCGAGCAGCAAAGACCAACGGGTTGTGCAAGGCTTCTTGTAACCGAACCACCCCACGCGATGTCGAATATACCAAGATTCTGGCGTTAGTAATATCTCCGAACGCACTGCTGGGGTAGTGGCGGATATGGTGTTCCATATCTATGTCGCCAACACCCCAGCCAATCACGCAATCCAGGATCCAAAGGAACCACGACGAATCAACTTTGGATATACTGAACAGAACCGCTCGACCCCGCTGCGAAATAGCACCCACTGTTTGCGTGCTCGTTAAAGATAGCGGGACGACTGCCGCTGTCAGTTCCGCGGCCAGTATCAGAATCCAAGTGTAACCGAGAGGCGCAAAGATGGCGAAGATGCATTGACAGTCGGTGGATACACGGTCATCGTGCGTTGCAACGCTAGCAAAATTGCGAAACTGTTTCTCTGAAAGATGCAAATCCAGAAGCTCTGCGCATGGGATGGTTATCGCGTGGGTCCACGAGCGAGAGAGCGCCCACAGATATAATGAGAGCGCACCCTTATAACGTTCTCAATATGAGAGTACTTCATTGACCTTGAAGAGCAGCTCAAATTTCAAGATGGTCGCCAATGATACTGCTGATGACTACCCCGTCGATAGTAAAGTGATTCTCAACACTGCGGAAAGCGACAGCAACAGCGACACGGCAGTCAACACACCCAGTGCCAAAACAAGATATGGCACGACCTTCATCTCTTCAGACTTCGGAAAAGACCGATACAGGCCCGTCGATTCCTACGAAGGCATCCATCGATACGATCCAGATTTCGTATGGGACAAGCCAGAAGAAAAGCGTCTCGTGCGCAAGGTAAACGACATCATGCTTCAAGGATCAACGAAGCCCACGCTGACCTACCCCAGATCGACAAGCGCATCTGCACCTGGGCCTGCTTAATGTTCTTCGCCCTCCAACTCGACCGAGGCAACATATCGCAAGCGCTCAGCGACAACATGCTCGACGACCTCGGCATGAACACCAACGACTACAACTACGGGCAGACCATTTTCTACCTCTGCTTTCTATGCGCTGAACTACCCTCGCAACTCATCAGCAAGAAGCTCGGGCCCGACAATTGGATTCCTGTTCAGATGGTCAGCTGGAGTCTTGTAGCTAGCTTTCAAGCTTTCCTGAGCGGACGGAGTTCGTTTTTCGCTTGCCGCGCGCTGTTGGGGTTGATTGAGGGTGGGTTCATTCCTGATAACATTCTTTACCTCAGTTATTTCTATACTGGGTGGGAGTTACCTGGGCGGTTGAGTTGGTTCTGGGTGAGCTACCAGTCTACTCAGATTGTCTCTGCGTTCTTCGCTTTTGGCATCTTGCGTCTGCGCGGACACAACGGTATGGAAGGGTGGCGTTGGCTATTCGCTCTCGAGGGTATGTTGACAGGCTGCATCGGTATTGCATCTTGGTTTTACCTGCCACCCAGTCCAACACAGACTGCGAGTAAGGCGTGGAATCCGTTCCGTGGAAAAGACGGATGGTTCAATGAGAGAGAAGAGAAGATCATGGTCAACCGCATACTGAGGGACGACCCTAGCAAAGGCGACATGCACAACAGACAAGGTCTGAGCTTCCGCATGCTGTGGGACTGTCTCAGGGACTACCACATGTGGCCAATCTACCTACTTGGCTTATCATGGACAATACCAACCACACCTTCAACAGCATATCTCACGCTCCAACTCCGCTCCCTCGGCTTCGGCACCTTCGAAACCAATCTCCTTACCGTAAGCCCCCTCCTTCCCATCTCCCTACTACAACACAACTAACAACCCCCCAGATCCCCGCATACGTCCTCTTCATCCTACAACTCCTCTTCTGGACCTACATATCCGAGCGCTTCAACCAACGCTTCCTCGTCGGCCTGATATCGCAGATCTGGGCCCTACCCCTGCTCATCGCGCTGGAACTCCTGCCTGCAACCGCGTCGCCCTGGTCCCGCTGGGTTCTATCCACCCTCCTCGTCGGACACCCGTATATCCACGCTATCCTCGTTGCCATCACATCGCGCAATGCCGGTGCAGTGCGCACGCGCACGGTGGCGAGTGCGCTGTACAATATGTGTGTCCAGGCGAGTAGTATCATCAGCCAGAATATTTATCGCGACGATGATAAGCCGCTTTATCGGAGGGGAAACAAAGTCTTGATTGCGATTTGTGCGTATAACTTTGCGCTGTTTATTGGGGCGAAGGTGTATTATGTTGCTGTTAACAAGAAGAGAGATGGGATTTGGGAGAGTATGACGAAGGATGAGAAGGAGACGTATCTGGAGACTACGAGGGAAGAGGGGAATAAGCGGTTGGATTTTCGGTTTGCGCATTGAGTTTTCTATTGAAGAGAAACAGTAAGGAAGGAAACAGTAAGAAACACAGCGCTCAAGGCTCTGGTTTCGCAAACAAGCAACAACTTGGAAGAAAAAGAAGAGCAACGAGCCAAACCCACACATCCTCATGCCCCTACCAAGGCAACTCCTCCCCCGTCCTATGAAAAAACCTCCCCGTATCCTCCATCCCCTTCCCCCTCAACACATCCCACAGCCCCCTCGCCGCCTCATCTGGCCCCACGGCTCCTGGCACATCCTCTCCCTCCTTATGCCTCGGATCTAAATCCGTCTTCACAATCCCCGGATGCAGCACCAGCACTGCCACACCCTCCTCTTCCAAATCCACACTCATACTCTTGAATAAACTATTCACCCCCGCTTTGCTAGCGCGGTACGCGTACTGGCCTCCGGAGGTATTGTCTGACATGCTGCCCACGCGACTTGATACCACGCCGATTTTTGGAGAGCGGGATTTGAGGATGGCGGGGAGGAGGGCTTGGGTGAGGAGGAGGGGGCCGAAAGTGTTTACTGCAAACGTTTTCTGCAGTTTATCCAAATCAACTGTGTGGAGCGCATCGTCCTCAGGTCTTTCCATGACGCCGGCGACGTGGAGGAGGAGATCGATTGGTGTGTCTGCGCCGATGAACTGGACGAAAGACTGGATTGATAAAAGGGAGGAAACGTCGAGCTGGTGGGTTTCGCAGGGAAGGGAGGTTAGGGCTAGACCGAGGGTTTGGTCTGTTGCTAGTACGGTATAGCCCTAGATGAAACTCGTTAGGCTGTTGAAGGGAGAGGGAAATGGAGATGGGGGTTCTGCTGACTTCGTCAATGAGGATCTTAGCTAGAGCGTGGCCGATGCCGGAGTTTGCGCCTGTTATTACTGCTGTTGGCATGGTGGTGGTGGAAGTTTGAGAGTTCTTATGAAGCAGTTTCGGTTTGAGGTGATCTAATGATTGTTTGATGTCTGATACCGTTTTGCGTTTAGACAGCGAGGGCGTCAGAACAACCATCGTGATGATATAGGCAGGAGCTGACCTATGACGTTGATGACGTCTACCTTACAACGTAGCAATCCTATCCTTACTCACAGTTACAGTAACTGATGTATGAGCGAACGTGGGCCTTTGAAAAAAGGATACAGGAGGACGATATTCCTGAGCCGAGGCAAGACATAAGGACTTATGTCGAGCGTTCTTGTGGTAGTCTTGACGGTTTCGCGTTGCCTAATCGGGCTAGTGTACTCGTTCTCATATCTATTGAACTTCGTTGAACAGGTACTCACTCTCGTACGCATCTCGTAAACGTACAACTCACATCCCTCAACCTAGAAAGAAAAGGCAAGAAGAAAAAGACACAAAACGCCACCGCAATGTACAAACGCGATCCACAGCGTATCCTTCCAACAGAAGCAACACCCAAGACACAAAACGTACACATACAACACCACCTATCCAACCTTTTCCATCCTCCCCTCCGCCTACGCACCCACACCAGCCACACTCACACCCCCTCCGCCCACACTCCCCATCCCAACACCCATCCCCAACCCCGTCCTCGTCCCCCCCCTCGGCCCCACAAACCCCTGTCTCTGCCTCCCCGTCCTGCCCCTCCCCAACCAATTATACTTCAACTCCTTATTCAGGCGCCCAATTTTCTCTTGTGCATCATCGCTCGACTGGAGAGAAACGAGCACGGAAACGCACTGCAGCATGCGGCCGACTGTTTCGGTGACTTTGGTGCTGTCCATGGGGGTTTGGCGGAGGGAGGAGGGGGCGTTGGAGTTAGAAGTGAAGTTTGAATGGGATGTTGGGGGTGGGTGGAGGTGGGAGATGGTTGGGTGAAGGGCGTTTGAGGAGGAAGTAGGGTGGTGAAGGGATTGGGGGTGGTAGTGGGGAGGCGGGTGGGAGGATGGGTTTGAGGAGAAGGAGCCAGCGGAAGTATTCGACGTCGCACGTGAGCGTGTACTGTTTGCGAATGTCGAACTCGTCATACTCGTCGTACTCTCCAGATAGCCCGCACTCGACGTACTCGTCGAATTCAGACTCCCCATCTCCCCCCCTCCACTCTGTCTCTCCCCCGCAGCACCAAACCCACTCCCCGCCGTCCCGGGTCTATGATCCGGAATCGGACTCGGACTCTCCAATCCCGCATTAAGATTCTCCAGACTAAGCCGCGAGAAAATCGCCATAAGCGCTTCATACCTCGGCAGAATAACAATATCCCTAAACATAAGCAGCGTAATCCTCCTAACCTCCAGCTCCCCAAGTATAGGTATATTCCGATGTTCCGGACTCTTGGTATTCATCTCGTCAGGCAACATGACGCCCCAGAACTCGCCTGCCTGGGCACTCGTCATGATGCCGCTGCCTCTGAACTCGAGGTCGAGGGGGAGGAAGACGGCTTGCAGGAAGGGGAGGATGGTGGTGAAGACTACGAGCCACATTTCTACTAGGTGGGGAATGAGGCGGTCGTCGGGGACGTGGCGGAGGGTTTGGTCGAGAGAGCCGAAGCCGGTTTGGAGGAGTTCGTTTAGGTCTTCGATGAGGATTATGGGGGACCGTTTGTGGATGCAGCGTTTTATGTGCACGGTTACTAGGGCGTTGAAATCTTCGACGGGGGGTCGCGGGTCTTCTCCTTCGAATATTAAAAGTACTCGTGCTTTGAGCAAGGGCCAGGCGTCGTCGGGCGAGAGGCCGTTGATGCCAAAGGAACTGCCTAGGTGGAGCATCTCTGTTGTGTGAGAGATGGTTTGGCTGGGCGTGCTCATGTTAGGGGTCGTGGTTATGCTGCTGGCTAGAGACGGCCATTCTGATCGCTCGGTGCTGAAGGACTGATTCCGCTCTCGGTACGGGGGTTCGAGTTGCGCGTCTAGAAACGCGGCGGCCTTCTCTTCCTTCTTCGCTCGTCGGAGATGGCGTCCTCCATGCCGGAGATCTAGACCGGTTACTGAATTTGCAAAACTACTTGAATGCCCTGGCGACGAAGGCGCGGCGAAGGAATACAGCGGCTCTGGTGCGCTGGGATTTGTAGGTTTGGAATTACTGCTGGCAGACGACAATGGCAGTGCGAAGCCATCCTGGTCTTTCAACTTGTTCTTCTGCCGCGACAAGAAGTGGTGTTTATGTTTCTCTTCTTTTCTCTCGGGTAGAGAATCATTCCGTGGAGGCACTAGCGTGGATGTCGACGCGTTGGCAGAAGAGTACAAGGAAGCATTACTGCTATTTGTCGCCGAATCAACCAAGCTCGTCGTCGACCCCGCCATCATCATGCGATTCAGCGCCTGCGAGCTGTGAATGCCAATGCCAATCTTGCCCGGCGACGGTAGCGCCTGGTGCTTGCCATCCAACCTATTGTCCACCTTGATGTTCTTCGGCTTGGACGAGAACAGCTTCCCGCCTATCCTGCTCTTCCCCTCCTTCGGCTTCTGCAGCTGCGGCGGCTCAGGCGTCGACACTAATTTAGGCGACGCGTGCGGTTGCTGTGTCCCTTCAATGCCAGGCGAGTTGAGCGGACTCCGTGGAAACGCCGCGTTCGCAGCGCTCGTGGCGGCCATCCTGCCTCCCCCAACACCATTCGAGTACGTAATGCCATTCGTCCTAAACGTGACCTGCGCCGGCACAGGCGGCGGACTCATGGGCTGGCCCCGTCCTGCAGGCGCAGCTTCGTTCGGAGCGGGTATCGTGGTGGAGCGCTTGCGATTGTGCTGGGGGTTCGAGGCATATGCGGCCTGGGCGGCGATCTGCGAGGCGGTAAGATGGGTCTGCGAGGCCATGGTGTTGTCGCGGTCCCGTATAGAGCCCTCCTTCATGGAACTCAGACTGGGCTCGAAGTAGCCCTGGGAGCGCTGGCGGGGGCGGTGTCCTAGATGCGCGCCAATGTGACTCTGGCTCTGGGTTGCATCGCGCACAATGCCGGGACGCGAGTAGTTTTGCGCTGGGGCGCCGCGCGAGTCTGCTGACGTCGGCGACTTTGCGGACGAGGGCGAGAGTATCGAGGTGGGCAGGGGAGAGCGGCGCTGTTGCTGTTGCTGTTGCTGCTGCAGCGTGGCGTGGGAGCCGTCCGAGTCGGAGTCGTCGAGCGAGGGGCGGTGGAGCGAGGGCGTGTGGATGGATGGCGTCTGGGGAGGGGGTGAAGAGGGCGCCATCGTGGGCCGTCGCACTGCAGGCCCTCTCGTATTACCGCGTGGGTTGCTTTTGCGACAGTGTGGCTGTTTGCAGGGTCAGGGTGTAGAGGCGGTGGCTGTAGGCCTGGCCAAACACACGGGACGGGTGAAAAGTGAATATGGGGGGAGGGAAGGAGAAATTCGTGTCTAGTCGTATTCCCTCATGGCCTGCATGGAGAGTAGCAGATACAACGTTATCCAAGCTCAGAGCGGAGTCGTGGGAGGAGCTGACGTGCATCCTACTGCCACTGTTACATGCGCCGTTGATGGATCGACGTCGCGTGGCCGTGCTGTCTCCACCCCGAGCCGCTTGACCCCGCCTATCTTCAATTAACCTTCACTCCAACACTTCCATACACCAACTACATATCCACCCCTACTCAGAAGATACCACCCGCTGGAACTCACCACCCAACATGCCCTCCCTAACAGCAACCTACACATCCTCAACCTCGGACCCCCAAACCTTCACCTCCGAACTCCCCGCACTCGCCTCACCACCCACAACCACCGATCGCGTCGCATACCTCGAAACCCTCTCCTCGTCCCTCAAGACCCTCCAGGCAGACGTAAACGCATTCCTAACGCAAAAAATGGCCGACGACAAAGCCGCCGACGACGCAAAAGACGAGGAGACATATGGCGAGGAAGTCGTCGATGAAGACTGAGACTCTCTTGCATGAAGAAGGCGCATTCTTGACGGATAAACATTTTTAACGACAACCTCTTCTGGGCTATACTATACCACACGACAAGACCAAACCTAGCGCCACCCCGCACCCCCCGTCCTCCTCCCCGTACTCCCTCCAAACCCACCACCACCACCACCACCACCAACACCAACACCCCCCCTCGCACACCCACTATGCACAACCCCATTATCCGGAAACACCCTAATCGCACTCCCCCCAAACCTCTTATGACAAACACTACAATGCCTCTCCTCATCAATCACCACCCTCCTGTTCAACCCGCCCGGCACCAACCTGCCATACGCATCCCTCTTCTCCTCGCCGCCCAACAGCACCGCCTTCTCCACACCCACCTTCTCCACGCCCCTCAACCTCGCCACAATCCTCTCTTCATTAAGCAAGGAATTCGCATTCCGGATTCTGCCGAAGAAATAAGATTCTAGGTCCTTAACGGGGAGAGAAGGGGGGATGAGATCGAGGGTCGTGGCTGCGGGGAGGCGGGCGCCGTGTTTTGACAGGAGGGATAAGGCCGGGGGCCAGTTTGGGGGGTGGGGGGGTGGGGGTTGGAGGTAGAGGGAGAGGAGGACGTGGTAGATTGAGAGGTCGGTGTCTTCGATTGTGCCGCGGGTTGTGAGGGGGGAGTGGGGGCGTGAGGAGGGCGAGGAGGAGGTCGGGGGTGCGGTGTAGACTTGGTTGCAGTATCTGCGTGGTGTGATGTGTTAGTTGGTTGTTTCTTAAGAGTGGAGTGGTGGAGGGGAAGGGGGAGTGGGAAGGAAAGGAAGGGACGTACTCCTCAGCTTTCTGGTAATCCTTCAACTGGAACACGTAAATCGCCAGTGCCTGCTTGTGACTCCCCATTTTACTCAGCACAATAGCTCTCGCTTCGTAGTAATCCGGATCTGTACCATTCGTTAGCAAAACATCCTCAATCTCCCACCCCCTCATCTCAAGATCAAACATACCATTCGCAGGCAGCTGCTGAAACACCCTATACCGATTATACTGCGCATTCCCCTTTTTCAAAAACCCCTCCAACCTCTCCTTCCAATCCCTCTTCTCCTCCTCACTCTCAAACTTGCCCTGTCCCTCCCCTCCTTCCCCCTTGTCTCCTTTTTTCAACCTCTCCAACAGCAAATCCACAAGCCTCTGGTGGAAATCCACATTCAGGTCATTCAGCTCCTCGATGATGTGTTCGAGATACCGAACCGCCAGTTTCAAATCAATGTTTTGTAGAAACTCCAGCACGCGGTCGCGAGGCAGGGTTTCGGCGTTTTCGGTGTCGGCGAGGAAGATTTCCATGCCGAGTTGGGGGTCGGTGCGGAGGGGCCATTCTGCGTATTCGAGGATGAGGTCGATGAGTTCGGGGGGGAGGGCCTGTAGGTATCCCACCGTCCTTTGTGGTCCTTGCAGTGCGGGTGAGACTTCTTCGTCGGCTTCGTTCTTGCCAAACTTTTCCAGCAGCTCCAGTGCCTGGCGATGCAGTTTCTTGCCGTGGAGGAAGTCGATTAGATCGGCGTAGCGACCTGTTTCGTAGAGCTTCTCTTGCACGACGTCTGGTTCGCAGAAGTTGGGGAGGCGGAAGAGGGAGCCGGCTACGCTGGGGTTGGCGATCATGTATGCGCGGAAGAGGGTTGTGTCGACGAGTTGAGCGACTTCGAGCAGCTTTGCTTTCCAATCGACGGGAGATTGGAGGGAGGACTCTTCGATGAAGATGTGGAAGGGTGGCTTTTCGGCTTCGAGTTGGCTGCCGCTAGGTGTGGGGAGGGGTTCTTTTAGGTTGCCGTCGGTGTCGATGTAGCGTTTTATCTGGACACGACATTGAGTGAGGAAAGACTGCAGAGCGCGAACAGAGTCTTTGAACTCTTTCTCTGCGGCCGCTCTGTCAGGCTGGGAGGGGTCGGTCGGCCTCTTCTTTACGCTCGCTGGTTCCATAGTATCGTCTTTGGCAGAGTTGGTGCGAATAGATGCAGCGTCTGAATCGACCTTCTTATGTCCTCCGACTCCAAACCGGCCCATCATCGACCGCCCGATCGTGGCTACAGGAGCGGGTGTGCTTTCCTCTTGTTCTTTCGTCGGTTTCTCTCCATTCGCCTCTTCCTCATCCGCCACGCTTCCATCACCCTTGACACTCTCTTCTGGCGCTAGGTTGCCAGCGATAGACCTGGGATACATTGCGATGACGCGCTCAGGCGGGGCCTTTGCATCGACAAACAGCTCCATCGCCTCACGGTACTTCCTCTGGTCAAACAAGGCCTGCGCCTTCAGTATTTGTATCTCACGCACCCTCTCCTCCTTGTCAAGAAGCAGGGTATCTTCCAGCATGTTGAGAAGACTGAGCGACTCGTCGTAACGCCCATGAGCGACCAGCTCATCGATCTGTGTCTCGTAGCTCTGTGCTCCCATGCGCCATATCGATCGATCGCTCGCGACGAGGAAACCCTTTCCGGCATGGGCTAAGCTGATATTCGGCTGCGGTACATGGAGGAAGCTGACGTTGGGTAGTGCGATTGTCTGTAGCAGGCTCAGGGTATCCGGATTCCTGACTTCCAGACTGCCCTTCGAAGGAGGTAGTAGCGTGAGCATGTATGGGTACGAATACGCAATAGTCTCGGGGGCGGAGTGCCAGGGTACTTGTCGCTTCTCGAGGGCGTTCCCATCTGTATCGATGAACAGACTGTTGACGTCTTTCGCCAACAGCATCTCGCCCTCTCCAAGTCGCGTCGCGAGCGGCTTCGGCACCCAACTACCCATGCCCATGTATCCCATGCCTGACGACGAAACAGCGCCGAAGCGTGCTCCGCCCTGACTCCCGTTCTCAGCCAACGCGCCTGGCTTGATGATATCCTGCACCTCCTGCGTCTCAATGTTGACCATTACGAAGCCGGGGTCCATGCCAGCGACTATCTTGGTGCCTGTCGCCCATGTCAGGCTCTTGACCGAAGCGATGAGCGAGATCTCCACCGCGTCGCCCGTCAGCTCCATGTCCTGCCATGTCCACAGTATGATCTTCCGCTTCACGGCGACAGCCAGGTGGCTCACGATGGACGGAATGCCAGTCGAGGGGTCCTTGACGATGTTGCTTGCCGCAGCGAAGGTAGTCGCACCCCGTGTCTTCTCAAGCTTCTCCTGCAACTGGTACGTCTGAATGTCGTGGATCGAGACATAGTTGTCCGACAGCGAGACAAGGATATTCGCTTCCTTGATAATCGCCAGCTGTTGTATCGGGCGTCGCGAGAACTTCTCCTCTTCGCGTAGGAGGTCGGCGGGTCTGGCTTTTGGCGTGGCAGGTGCTTCGCTTTCGCCGTTCGGGTCGCCGTTCTGCTTGCGGTCGGGGTCTACATCCTCAATCTGGTCGTTTACGCGGTAGATGCGCAGAGCACCCGTGTTCAAGCCTACGAGCACGCGGTCGCCTGGGTGTGTTAGTAAGCTGGGGAGATGCTGCAGGCGGGCGCTGTACCATATGCGAGGATGGACTCAATTTTCGACTTGTCGCGCTGCTTGAGCTCGACGATGGGTCGGGCGGTGAATGCAGAGAGCATTTTGGCTATTGTATCGACTGCGACTTCATTTGGCCATGGTCATGTCGCTATGCGACGGGTGCTGCAAGCTCCATGGGTGCCTGGGATGCGCCTGGAGCTCGCCGGTCATCGTCATTGCCGCGGAGCTTTGGCCAGGGTCCAGCCAGCCACGTGCAGCCACATCACTCTCCGACACTTGACTGCTCAACCAACAGATACAAGCAATCACTTTTCGAAGGTCAATGTCGAGATCAGATGCTTTGCATTGATAATCTATCTAATCTACCTAAGATGCTCGCCCGGTTAATAGGCATTTGAGCGTGATACAGAATGAGAGTGGGTGATGCTGGTTGAGCGAGTGGGAAAACAACTTCAAACATGACTGTGCAGTAACAGGACAAGGGAGGATATTTGAAATTTCTACCGTTGGCCCGTCATGCGGCGGGACCATCTCCCCCTCATTTTTCACACCCACAGACACACCACTCGAGTGGGGTTCTTTCGGGCTATCCAGCAACCACCACCAACATCCCAAAAAAAAACGCCTGCAATAACAGGTCCCGGGCGCAAGCGCCTCCAGGATCAACTCAAGCGGCGGTTCTAAAGAAAGAACACAGCAGAAACCAACCCTTCATCCAGAGGGACGAGGATGCTTCCACCCGTACAAACAAACACAAAAATGTCGGCTTTCAACGTCAACATGTCTTCCTTATCTCTCCCAACGCGGTCCTCTCAGAAAAGCACTGGAAGAAAGGAAAACAGGAGGAAAGCA